CCCCAAAACCCCAAAACCCCAAAACCCCAAAACCCCAAAACCCCAATGCTAAGCTGAAAGATTGAAATTAAAACTTGGCTAACTGATCGGACATCGTGTTGTTATCCTGCATAAGCTCCTTGATTGCAAGATTTTTGGCATTGAGCTCGTCTGACAGAATCTCACGTTCTCTAGTAAGGTCCTGAACAGCCTTTGCGATCTCGATACCATCAAGAGAGGCTTGTCTGAGTTCCTCGTTCTCACTGGCAAGATCTTTGTTCCTTTTCTCTGCTTCTTTGCAGATCTTAAGGAGCTCTTCGATAATATCCTGGGTTTTTCTGACTTGTTCATCAGCTTCCTGCAACTTGGCGTTATCAGCATTTACTTTCCATTGCTCGAATGCCTTCCTGATGGGTTTCCACTTGAGCTTATATTCCATTCGTCTAAAGGCGATTCTTTGAGCGATTGAGAAGCCTTTCAGTAACTGGTCTCTCTGCTCAAGCTGGATATTTATGTGATAAGCGTTCCTTCCCTGCTCACATTTGAGTGAGCCAAGGAGCTGCTCATCCTTGATACATTTCCAGATCAGGTAATCTTTAGGAAGTTTATCAAGCCTCTTGAGCTGGTCTGAGTGATGATGTTTCCATCTCTTAAAGGCCCAGAAAATCTCAGAGTTTTTGTACTTAGAACAAGTATCGAAAGCATTCCTATAGAGCTGTCTGGTCCTCCTCCATGCTTTTAGCTGGTTGAATGCTTTTGGGAGGACTGAGAATTTAGACGTCTTGAAGAAGAGTCTGATGATGAATGATTTCATGATGGATTTAGTCTTCTGCTTCCTTTGTTCAACTTCTTGGTTAATCTCTTCCCTAGTATATCCGTGTTGCTGGAGGAAATCTTTCATTATTTCGACTCTCCTGTTAGCTTTGAGGGCTTCAACTGCGATTTCACCTTCAGTATTAACCTTCTCAACAATAATTTGTGTGGTGTAGCAGCTTTTCCATTTGGAGAATCCTTCCTCGAGTTTTCTAGAATGAAGTCTTTTGACAACTCTGGTTAGAAGCCTGCTCTCTTCCTGCAAGTGAACTCCAATCATCTGGACTTGAGCGAGAGAGGTCTTTAGCGTATTTTTATAAGCTTTCTGAAGGAGGTAAGCTAGATCCCCAGCAGCATGGATCTTCCTCTCTGATTTTCTAGCTATTCTTGACTCTCCAAAGTGTCTGATCTGCATAAATGCGTATAGCTTGGAATAATCTTGACTAGTCTTTGAAATTCTAGCGATGGTATTGACAAATTTTTTCTGCACAAAATTGTTCTGCTTCCAGATTCTGAAGCACTTACGGCCAAGTTTTTGGTAATAATTGAGGTAAGCGATCTGGTGTTGCTTTCGGATATCTTTAGTAGCATTTGATCTGTCTCTCCATTTTTTAAGAGACTTCTTCATTTGTTTCACTTCAAGACTGCGTTGAAGTTTTTCTTTCTTATGTTTTGAAAGAATGTTGAATTTTGTAATTGATAACCATTGAGTATAAATTCTTAATAACCTTTTGAGCTTAATTGCTTTGAATGCTATATCTCACTTCTTCTTGTTCAAGTTTCCAATTATCTGCTCACTCGAAATTTTTGCCTCTTCAAAGCTTTTTATTGAGTTAAACATAGAGAGAGTAACTGAATTATAAGTAGCTGTTCTCCATGTGCTCACTGATTCCCTCAGGATCCCTCGTTCCAGCACCTTGGCCATCTTAGTTATCTTCTTCTTGTTTGCCTCTTCTTTCCTGCATTTGAATGTAAAATCCCTCCATTTTTCCACTGCCAAACTTTTGAATGCTTTCTCGCCTAAAATTAATTCATAACCCTCAGTTGCCAACTTAAGCTAACTAGTTAACTTCCTGCAGACTTACGCTTGAGCCAGAATTTCTGTACAGTACCGACTGCTCTTTTCTCTGCTTGGATGAACAATGACCAGGTTTTTAAGATCCTGGCTTTCTTTTGACTCATTTTGAAGGCCAGGATTTTTAGCTGTAGAGAAAATAATGGATTTTGACCTGAAAATTTATAAGGAAATTTAGGAGTTTTATAAAGAAAACTTGTGAAGGAATTTTGGAATGGGATTAAGGAAGCTAAATTTACCTGGAAATCTTGTACTGTTTTAGCAGTAGTGGATTCAACCCAGAGTTTGAGAGCAACCACTTTAGACTTCCTTAAATGATGGTTGAGTAAAGATCTTAAGGCTGAGGCTTGCTCTGCTCGCGATTTAACTGTGTTTTTCCAATGTTTGAAGGATTCCTGGAGACGGTATGACCAATATCTTTTAGAAGTGTTTCAGATTCATTTTTGGGCTTGCTCTAATAATCTTGTGCCTAAGGCAGAATTATAAGCCAATGTTTCTTCAATTTTTTCATTGAGATTTTCGATATCTTCTTGGTGTTGAAGGTTTTGTTGCTGAATCTGTACAATTCCTTCTCTTACTACTACTATTTTCTGCTTGAAATCAGCTCCTTTCCACCTATTCAGGTATGTAAAGAGTAGATTTTTAGTCCATTTTTGGTGTACTCGCTTGATGATTTTCTTTGATTTCTTGTTACTTTTGGCAAAAGTTTGGAGAAACTCAAAGATCCTTCTTTTAGTTTGAACCTTCTTGTAAGAACTATTATTTTCAAGGAAATTTTGGATATACTGAGACCTCTTATTTTCAGAGACCTTTATTTTCCAGAGCTTTACTACTCTTCTTCAATGATGCTTGGATTCAAGCTTGGCGAGCAAGTTCAGGCCTGCTTCTTTGCTAGCAAACTGCTGAGTATGCCCCTTCCATCGAAAGATTGCTTGTCTTTGTTGATGTCTGAGTAGCTTATTCAGTCAACGTCCCAGCTTCATCTCTTTAATGTGGTTGCCAAGATTGGTCAGATCATGCTTCTTCTCTTCTAAGCTTTGAATATCTTCGGAGATGAGTTCATTATCCTTGGCAATTTTAGAATTGATCTGCTTTAGTTCATCAATTTTAGACTGATTGGCCATTCTTCGCCATAACTGGAAGGTATCAATTACTTTATTCTTTTGAGCAGAAACTACTCTGTGATGGATTCTCTCGATCATGATGGTCTTGTAGTTTGTGAAGAGCTTCCACCGACGGAACCCAATGTACATCCTATCAGTGTAGCTTGCAAAGGCCTTACGAAAGACTTGGTATTTGACCTTAACTTCATTGAGTTTGTTCAGTTGAGATAGCCTTTTCTCACATTCTTCTTTCCTTTCAATCTCTTTCTCGAGCAAGCTTCAAGTTGTATATCTCTTTAGAGAAGTGAAAGCTTTCAGGATGAGGTACTTTTGTTTCTCAGTGCAGGCAAAGTTTACAAGGTAGCTTCCTCTAGCGACTTGCTTGGTTTTCCTCTTGGTCTCGCATTTCAGCTTCAGGTGCTCGAAATGATCAATTTCTCGAGTGTGTTTGATGTGTAAAGTGACTAACTTCCAAGCGTAGAATATCTTTTGCTTCATTCGGACTCCAGTGATATGATTTCTTAGTGCATCATATTTCCCTTTCTCTTGGACTCCTCTTAGAGTATCGATCCAAAGATGCAAAGACTGTAGCTTAAGCCCTCTAGTGGATTTGTGAATCAAATTCTTTAGCATAGTTCTAGTCTTTGTAGCCCACTCAGTGTTATCTTTCCATCTAACAAAAGATTTGTTAAGGGCAGTAGCTTCCTTACGCTTTGCTATCGCTAAGATCCTGTGGAAGGACTCCAGCCTGGAGTCATATTGCCTAAGCTTATGGAAGTATGCGCTTCTCCAAGCATAGAAGAACTTGCTTTGCACTTTAAAGTCTGCCTTTTGGGTGGACAGTTGGAGTACAGTCTGGGTATTTTCAGTAAAATCATAAGCAGTTAGATACCAAATTTTGATTGCTCTTCTAAGTCTCATTTGGATCTTGGCATTAGCGAAGATTTCGAGCCTTCTTAAAGCTCTCTGCTTCACTCGAATCTCAAAGTTTTCTCTCTTGATAGAATTGAGGCCTGGGATAAGGCTCCTGTGGCTTATCTGATGTATTTTTAAGGCTATCAATTTAGCAGCGGTAAGTTTCCGCTGGTGGTGGTTCTCTTTATCCTCACTTTCCTTGTCATGCTTGATAGTCGCTAAAAGTTAAGATTAAAGGTACCAAGAAGTCGTCTCTTTTCAATATTGAGCCTTTCAATTTCTTCTTCTAGTCTGGTACGTTCTTCTCTGCTGAAATTATAGTAATTTTTGAGGGATTCTAGCTCTCTTTCAAGTTGTGTGAGTTTTGACTGCTTTTGGACAAATTCCTCTTCGAGAGATAGACATTCTATGGGTAATAAAAAGGAATACTTGAGCTTTGCTTAAAATTCTGGGTAGAATTCTGAGTATTTTTGCATTTTCAACTTGGAGATTGACAGGATTTAAGCTCCTTTGTTTTCTGAAAATATTCATTGTTCAATCTTTCATTTTCTGCTTCCACATGAGATTTTTGATTCTGGAGATCTTCCAGTTTTGCCTTTAAGTTATCCCGTTCTTGGGTGTACCTTGCAAGATCGTTTTTAAGAAGTTGGTGTTGCTCTCGCTCTTTAGAGACTTCAAGATCAAGGTTAGAGTCAAGGCTCTCTTTGGCAAATTGGTTGTTCTCTATTTGTTTTTCAAGATCAAGAACAGTCTGGGATTTCTCTTGAAGCTTCCTATCAACTTCCTCTTTCTCACGATGAGCGGCTTCAAGCTGCTCAAGAACAGAATTTAGACGTTTTGTCAGCATAAACTTATCTTCCTCCATACTTTTCTTGAAATTACTATAAATCTCTTCTGTAGTATCTGGTTGCAAAGTAAGTCTTGGCTTTTTCCCAGCTTGTCTCTTAGACTTTGCCGAAACTTTACTCTTACCTCATTTCTTCGGTAGATTAATCATCCTGAGATCATTTTCTAAACGTCATAAACCCTCTGTCCCCTCAAATCGCCTAAAACATTCCATAAATCCCACCAGCCCGCTCAGGTTTGTAAATTTCCCTCTTACCTGCCATTTTAAAAAATTTAAAATTTTTCAAAATTCCGTTCAAAAACCGGGGTTTTGGGGTTTTGGGGTTTTGGGGTTTTGGGG